TCGTCAAGTGCCTCCTCATGCTGCTCAGAGAGAAATCGTATCTCCTCGTTTGTTCGCTCCATCTCCCGTTCACAGTTGGCGATGTGGAGACGCCGTGTCTTTATTTCCTCCTCGTCCGCATTTGCCTGCGCCTGCACGGCACACAGCAGGTTGTAGATGCTCTCCGCAGAGTCACAGGACAAAGCCGAGGAAGGGCTGCGCATGGCGCTGCAAACGTGCACGACACCTCTTCCCTTCAGTCAACAGAAAAAAAGAAAAAATTTAAATTAAAATACACTTATATATGTGTAGCGAGGCAAAGAAAAAAGAACTTAAGCAAAAGAGAAAAAAAAGTAAAAAAAAAAAAAATCCCATGTGTGCTCAGGCGGCAACACACGGAAACATGACTTCGAAAACACGATAAGCACCACACACACACACACAGTCCAATCCAAAAAGTGAATGGAATGCAAAAAAGAGTGGACTCTACTTGGAGACAAAACTGAGGGAGTCGCACCGCTTATGAAGGACAGCAGCTCCCTGCTCTGCGTACTCCGTCCTTGTGATCCACTCCGAGGCGAAGGATGTCAAGCTGGCAAGAATGGCTGCACCTATCCACACACTAAACTTCCGTTCGCTCGCAGCGACCACGCGGACGTCTTCAGCGGCACGCTTATTTGCTAGGGCTGCTAGCTCCGACTGCAGACGCTGCTGCATTCCCTTGAACATCGTGTTGCCGCCGGACAAGACAATACTGCCAAGTAGCTGCCGGCGAAGATCGATAGGACAGGAGTTCACACAATTAATTACAGCGTGTTGAATGCCGTCGTACGGCTTCTCAGCCAATGCCGGGTTGAAAAGAATCTCAGGGCAGCAGAACCGCGCGCGCCCAACGTGAATCACCTCACCATCCGGCAGTGTGAAGGGTTCTTTTCCTTTCGCGTCCTCGTTAATGCCATCCTCTTCCGCCGCCTGTAGTTCTTCTTCAAAGAACAACGGTATATAGCAGAGGCTCTCCTTCACGCGCCGTGCAACCTCGCGATCGGCAGATGTAGTGAATGGACGGTCAAGCTCATCGCTGAGCAGCTCCATCATCCACTCCGTCAAATCACGGCCAGCAAGCTCCAGCCGGCGCACTGATTGCGGCATCGTCTGCCCTTCAAATACGGGGACAAGATGCGTTACACCGTCACCGCTGTCCAACACAAGACCGTCGGTGCGGCCAGAAGAATAAAGTGTGAGCACGGCCTGAATTTGCACGTGAAGCGCTGGCACGCCAAATGACTCAAAGAGAGTCTCCGCCATCTTCTCACGGTTGCTAATCGGGTTCAGTGGTGCCTCGGTCAAAAGCACAGCCTGGCGCTCAGGCGGCACACGTAGCTGCTCATACGCATGCCGCCAAACACGCTCCATTTGATCCCAGTCGGAAACAATGCCGTGTTCCATTGGATAGAAGTAACGCAGACCCTTCTCCTGCAGGGCTTCGTCTCCCACATACACACGCTGACTGCTGCTGCTGCCGCTGCTCCTGGTATTCATTGAGACTCCTGTAACACTCGGGAATACGCATCGAGGAATCTCTTCACCAGCAAAGCCGCACTTAATGTTTCCGCTACCATTGTCAAGAACCACCGCCGGCTCTTCATCCCACAATGTTGCCTCCATTTTATATTAAGCCTCAAATGTCTGTCAATCTATTTTTTTCGTGTGAGTTTTTTTGTGTTTCTTTGTGTGCCTTTGTGCGGCTGTGCAGCGCAAGAAAAGAGCAAAGGAAAAAATTATGGTTATTTTACTTGTGTCTGTTTGTTCGCCTCCCTCTTAATAATTATAATGACATCAAGAAGGCCACAGTTCACCATCCAAACGTCTATGGATGACGCCAGTCATCCACATTCCATTCGATACCATTCATTCATCTATAAAATGGAGCAACGCCAAACATCTTCCAGAACACAACGTGCCGCCTCATGGCACAAGGCGAACGCTGCATTTCCGGATGGTGATCGATGTTGTCGCCGCCGCAGCGTCTCAATCAATTCCTCCTCCCATTCTGTCAAATCTCCTTCCATCAGAAGCATCTCCTGCAGCAACGCATTACATTCAGCATCCTTCACCTTATGGGTATTCATGGTGTAGAGGGCTGTCATGAGGTGTCCTCCATTCTCTTCATCCGTCCGTGCATCATCCTCCGCTCCATCCCCCTCAAAAAGCAGCGAGTACGGAAAGGTCACCAACTTGGAGGTGAAAAAGGGGCCATCGTCTCCGGCGCGAGCTTCAAAGCGGGAAGTTTGGCGAAAAAAGCAGCCCCCTCCCTCTCGTACCTCATAAAAACCCGGCGCGCAAGGCCCTCCGCCAATAGAAGCAAGTCCGCCCAAAAACTTCGTTGGGTCCGCCTCCGTCGTATAGTAATCACAAACGCCGTTCTCTTTTTCCCCGCGGATCCCGACAATTGACGTGTGGCGCCAGCAGTGGTGGAACCAACCAACACCGTAGCGCCCTGATTCCCCTTCATTCCCAGCAATACCAGACAAAATCGAAAAAAGGGCATAATGACCCATTTCACGACCCTCACTGCACGCATTTGCCTCCGCCTTGACAATGTGACTGGAGGCAACACACCATGCAATATCCAAAGGGAGATCAACTGTGTCTGTAGACCATACGAACGGGGTCGATTTCACAGTCTTCCTCCCATGCCGCCCAAAAAACGGAAGACAGTCACAAGTACCATGCAGCCTCGGTGGCAAGTTCCCATTGGAAACGTCATTCGTTCCCTGAAGGAACGTCTTTGGCGCTTCCTCCTCCAGTTTGTTCATTTCGTATAGAAGACGGTGAAACCACGTCGTTGGGTAAATTGATGCCGTACAGAGTAAAAAGTGCGGGGCAAATTCTCGCGCCTCTTTTTTCATAGCAGTCTCTTCTTCTTCTTCTTCATCGTCGCTATCGTCCGTTCCCGCACCAAGCCTTAGCGCGACTCTCGGGTTCCTGAGATGTTCTTTTATAAACCGCAATAGCACCGCGGAATCCCAAAATGTTTCCTCACCCGCCGTACGGAAAGCAAACACGCAGGAAACGGCGTTGCCAACACCAAGAAAGACAAGGTTCAGCACCAATCCGTCCTTTCCACACTTTAGCAACAAGTCACACACGTGTATTAGAGGGGTCTGCTTGGATAAACTTCGCTCCGTTGGCCAACGACACAACTGGTCCACCGCCACAGCCGCTATGAAGAGTCGATTACGATGATCCGTCAGCTGAAAAAATAACGGGGAGGCAAAAAGAAGGCCGTTTATTGAAAACACAGCAACGAATGTAATTTTGTCAAAATTACCACCCCAAAGTGGCTGATGCTTCTTGGCACTCTTATTCACATTATAGGCTGCCACAAGCGTGCGGTCAATGACATCTACCAGGTTCTTACAAGCACGTGCAGCAGAAGATTCAAGTGACTGAAGGCCCTTGCGGTAATGTTGTGCGGCTTTGGCAACGCTGGATACGCAGCCGTGGGACTTTACACCCGACACTCGACAGTACAGGAGATTAACAGGAACAACGTCCTGGGTAACAAAGAACAGCAAGGCTCTGCGTCGCACAAATAAAGAGGAGCGCACTTCAGAACGCCGTCCCTTGTTGGACGACATCTTGTCCGAGTCACGCCAATCACTCACTCGTCGTTCTTTCCAGTGCGATTCCTGCAACGTTGGCAGGCCGTCGTACTCCACCACCTCATCAGTCGCTGCAGGAGCAAAAGCCAATGAGGTGCAAAACGCATCAAAAATAAGGCGTGTGCCACTGTAGTTTGTGCGTCGAATGACATCAAAGGCGGAATCAAGCACAACGGTTAGCTCATCCCGCGAGGCTGCCGGGCCACCCACAGCAATAGTCACTTCGCCTAGTTTACCACCCATTTGCTGGCGCTGCACCAACACAAGAATCTCCTCCATGAGGCAAAGACGACTGTCAGCGTTGTCATCCTTTTCCAGAGGCATGGCGTATCCACGAAAGCAGTGAAAAGAGCGTGCACGAACAGGATACTCAAACAACTTGTCGATTCCCTCCATGCGCGGGGATGCGCTGAACGAGGGCGCCATAACTCTCAGACCATTCTCTGCCTCCAACCTAATCCATGGCATCCTCCCGCTTCCTTTGCCCTCCTTTTTTCTGACAGAAGCAAAGAAAATTCAGTAGACACAGAAATAAATAAATAAATAAATAAATAAAATGATCATCGATGCATACACGAACCAAATTGACGTGGGTTTGGAGCTCAAAAAAGTTTTTATTTCTCTTCTAAAAGTTTTCCCAAAAGGAAAGAGCTGTCTTCAGAGCGTTTCTTAAAGAAAAGTACATACCCATGCTTGCAGCTTTTTCCCACATCTACGCTGTCACCAAGACATAATTCCTTAATTAAATAGTAATCATTTTAAAAAAAAAAAAAAAGGATTCAAATAGAACAAGAATTGTGTTCCCTTTTCCCTCTTTTGGCCCAGACACACAGACACAGAGACAAAAACCAAAAAAAAAAAAAAGTGGGAAGGCGGAAGCAATCATCCGAGCGCATTAAAATACCCTCACCCCCTTGCCATTTTCCGGCAAGGAAAGGATCGAATGCTTTTCTCAAAATAATAATAATAAATGCGCATTTTTTTTTTTGTTTTTGTCTGTGTGTGTGTGTCTGTTTAATCCTTTTTGTTGTTCGTTTTCCTCCACTGCTTCCTTTCTCATCTCCCTCCCGTGCATCCTCCCTCAATTTTGTTCTCGTTGAATTCATGACGCTCCTCCCGTTGTTTTTATATTTACGTGCGTGTCTCCTGTCCGCTCTAAAGGTGACTTCTATTCTGGGATCCAAATCAGTACACATACGGAATCAAACGATACCGAACGATGCTGCATAACTTTTTCCAGTCTGCATCGCCGTACTTCTCAGCCATTTGACGCTCATCTCGCAGCTGACGGTGTATGAGTAGAACAGCGAAGTACACCGGCTGATAGTACGGCAAAATTGCCTCTATGCCCGTCAGTGCCGACCATGCAAATGTCATGAGCCAATCCCCAACATAGTTGGGGTGGCGACATATGCCCCAATAGCCAGAGATGATGAGCGATTTTCCTCGTGATGTCTCCATCACCTTCAAATTCATCACCGCCTTGTCATGAGGATTCTGACGGAACTTATTTTTCTGACGGTTTGAGCCCCGAAATATGACGTAGCCGAAAACAGCAAGCATACAAGAAAACGCTACATATGCGTTGCTCACCTTCACAGGGTGATACGCCAAGAACTTGGTTTTAAGCGTATATGTAAAGGGCACCCAAGTGAGGTCACCAAAGCATAACATGAAACCAAATCCATCGTGCACAATATCCATCATCGTCAGGGCCCCTGACTCCAGTAAAAGTCCATCAAAAACGTAAAACGACTCCAGCAAGGCGATTATAATTATGCTGGGAGTACACGTACCAGCTTCCACTGCCTTTAGCACAAAGGCCCAATTCAGCACACTCCATCCAATAAGACCTGGGCGTAATTCGCACATAAACTTCCAGTCAAGTGAACCAGTTCGGGGGTTTAGTTCGCGCCCCATCCAAAAGTCGTAAACAGGATTCCCGGTGTTGCCTCCCAAAGAAAGCAGCACTGTCGGTGCGCGGAAGGATGCTAAATAGAGCACAATACTCATGCCAGTGGAGATTATGATTGAGGCAATCATGAGGGGCGCAAACATCTCCGCCAGGCCTGCCAAGCAAAAAATGCCATTGTAGTGAAGGCCGCCCAAAACAGCATGAGTAAAGACAAATACATACACAGCATTCATGTTGTACACAAGGGTTTTCCCGTTACGCAGCTTCGTCCCCTTCACTCGCCCACCAATAGGAACCATGTAGAGCAGCGCATGCAACAGCAACCACGCCAACTCCAGCCCAATTGCAAATGGAAGTTGAGAAAGGGACGCCCGGATAGTCTCCAAAATTTCCGTAGGAAGATTGTAAATGCCAGTAACTGCGCACTGTTTTTCTCCGCACAGCACATTGATGATAAGCACAAAGGCCGGGAGGAGCATTGTCAAAGCTAGAGCGCCCACAGGCCCGCCCCATTCGTATTCCACCGTTCGCGGGTTAAGTGGTGTGGCCTGTTTAGGCTCTGGCGCTCTGACACGTGTGAGAGATGTGGCGCGGCGCGGCGTCCTTGAGCGTGACCGTGAGGCCCCTCTAGAGCTCCGTGGCATGTCTGGTACTCTTTGGCTTTTTTTTTCTTGGCTTTGACTTCCTTCACGCCGTTGATGTTACCACACGGCGCAGAGAGAAAATAGATTTAAAAAAAAAGGAAAAGGAAACAACGTCGTCAGTCGCAAAAAAAAAAAAAAAAGGCTCGGTGCGGGTGCGCAGGGTCGAAGGCAGTCGCTTCTTCTTCGCAACAGTCAAACACATATGAGAGAAAATCACCGCAAATCCATCCTGCCTCTCCTCTAGTTTCGGTGCGCAAAGGCGTCCGCATCCGAGACCACCAGCGCAAGCCCGATAGCGACGAGAAGGGCACCCACCGCCCACATCGCACTTATTTCCTCGCGGAAGACAAACAGACCAAAAAAGGCACTCACCGCAAAGTTCATCCCTGTGTTCACAATTTGACAGACCGGTGTGGGGCCGCACGACAGGGCCTTAAGATGCCAACGCCACATCTGTGCCGTGAAGAAGATGTTTGAGGCAAACAACAGCACCCGAATAACAAGCGTAACCACACCAACCCACTGCAACTCAGCGTCACGCAATTCCCCCCTTGAAAAAAACGATGCGAGCGCCACGAACAACAAACTATCGCTGTCCTTCGTCACTGCAAGTTTTCCCACCACGGCGGAGAGTGCTCCAAACGCCCCTGCCAAAGATGCATGAGCGAAAAACATACGACTCGTCTTTGAGGAATATCGCTGTGCTTCTTGCGTAAACAAATTAATGCAGCTTCCATTTGATGCCGTTACCCTACCACTCGGCTGTGCCGGCCTCATCTGCCTCGTGTGGCTCCTAAAAATAGTTCCACACACAATCAAAAAGACTTCAACGAAGAACAAAAAAAAAAAAAAAAACATGTATATAAACAAAATAAGGATGGAAAAGTGAAGAAAAGCAAAAAAAATCTAGTTGGCCGTCGAAGTGCAACCTCATTCAGCGCCGTTTTCTTTGCACTCGTGGACTTCGCCACCTTGTATTTCCTTATTCCAAGAAGTGAAATAAGGTTATTGGGCACCATTGTTTTCTATACCCACAAAATTCACACCACACAAACGGCGCACACACAAAAAAAAACTCCGCTGTTTTTGCATTCCAGTAAAGAATTAAAAGTTTCGTGCCATCCCCATCAACCAACGTGGCGCACAATACAGTGCGAAAAAGCACTACCTGTTCGGAGACGCCTTGGAGTCTCTCCATTGAAAAACACATCCTTCGCTTAGTGTGCAGAATGATAGCGACAATATACGAAGAACCCGTCAAAATATTTCCACCAAGGTGGCTCCGACACAAACTATCAAAGCGTCCCTATGCTCCTGATTTGGAAAAAAACATACAAAAAACCATTTACGCCTTGGACGAAGTGATTTACCTCTAAAGTTGTTAAACACACTCAGGGAAGCGGCACAATGAAACCTCTACACATCCCCTCCTTATCCCACTATAGACACATAAAAAAATTCTTTCTTCCCCTACTCTTACCAACACTTCTAGCGACACGGTGGCATCTGGGTGCCAAAGACGTGGTCGGGCAGCTACAAGAATTTCCTGCTGTAAAGCAAGTGCCATTGGGAGAGCTTTTCGGTACACAGATCCTCCCTGATGACCAGCCTCCTGCGGGCCATTGGCGTGCTTGTGGAGGCTGGCTGATCCTGCGGCAGCAGAGATCGCCTCCTGGCACTTCTGTTTAGATGTCGAGTGGCGTCTGGGTTGTGTGCGCAGCGACTGCTGTGCTGTGCGGTGCTTCTCCGTGTGGGGAAAACCATATCACAGAAATCGCATTTGAGCTCGGGAAGCGGTGGAGGATGTTCCGGATGAAATGACCGACAGTGATTGACGAGATTCGAGAATCCCGTCAATGTAGAATCACAGTACGGACATTTCTCCTTCCGACGACGTGTGATGGTCCGTCTCCTTACTGGAGAGACGTCTTCCTCCCTTGCCGACGGGGGAACAGTGTCCGTCCCCGGTGCAGTCGGATCGTTGTTGGAGCGCATATATGCAGACTGTTCTGGTGAGATGTTGCAGAAACGGCATTGATTCGTGCAATCTCTCACAGCCCAGTATAGTCGGCCCCAGAGCTCAGATTCGCCGCACCTTGCCCTTGCGAGGTGAACCAGTTCTTGACGGTGAAGAACTTCCTGAGTGATCAGGTCCTTACCGCTGAGATCTGATGGCCTTGTGCCGCAAAGCAAGTAGCAATGAGTGTCTTGACGAATCGTACTACGCCACTTGTTGGTGAGCTGGGTAGTAAAGCATGTTGGCAGGTCCGTATGCCACATAGATGCCATTCCATGTTCCGTTTATTGTCCGGTTGCCATGGTCTGCGCCGCATACTGATCTGCAAGCTCGTTAGCATGTACTCCACAATGTCCGTAACAAAACTGCAGGTGCACGGACCAGCCAGCACACGTCAGTGTTAAGAGACGCTGCCAGATCTGATCCTCCGTCCAGTCTGTCTGACTGAGCGGGCCCTTATTTAAAGCCGCAAGAAGAGACTGACTGTCTGTAACCACAAGCAGGGTTTTATGCCTGTGTTGGATACGAGGGATAATCAGCCTTTCCAGGGCTAGAAGCAGCGCACGGGATTCCGTCCTGTAGCTGCATGGGCGTGCACCGCAGTTTATACTGGCCTTTTCTATTATCTCCGATGAATTGAGGGATGAAAGCTGTATTCCAACCCCGGCTGACTTGGGAACGTCTACACCGCCATCCGTCGCGAGTATCCACGAACGATGACTGTGCAGCGCTAGAGCCTCTTCGCTGACTCTGCGCTTTTCCCGTATCAGCTCTTCCTCGTCAGTTATTGAGTGGTCTATCGGAAGTTCCACGCCAATGGTGACCCGGTGTGCGGAGGCCGCAAACCAGGGAGGAATGGAGCTGCGAAAGAACCGCTCTTCGCGTGGTGAGCTCTGAGTGATGCCATAGTCCTTTGTGTACGCGTCTACGAAGGCATATAGCTCGTCCCGAGATAATGGCGAGATGCGGAAACCTGCGCGAGGCGGTGGCTCAGGCGGAGGTCTCCGCATCCAGTCCATCTGGCATGCGCGTGTGTTCTCAAATATGGAGAGCCGCGCGCGCAGGCAAAGGACATGGAGCGGCGGCATATTAGCCTCTAGAAGCGCGGATTCCGGGTCGACAGTGCTCGGAACTCCACTGACAATGCGTGCCAGGGTTGCATACGTCTTCTGCATCTCATTCTTCGCTGAATCCGTCGCTACTGCCCATATGAGCTCGCTGCCATAGCGTAATTTGGAAGCACCGGATCCAATGACGAACGTGCGTAGTTCATGTGGAGATGGTCCCGCCTCTTTATGTGCTATGCAG